TGCTCAGAGATGAGAAGGACAACACTGGCTGCTAAATGGCGAGGATCCCGAGTGAGAAAAGTGGTGGCCATTTGGGATGGTCATGGGAAAAGACCAGGGAGAAATCGGAAAGAGGTAAAGAATGGCTGAGTGGTGAAGTTGTGAGTTTAGAGCATACCCTGCACAAGGGCTGATCTTCAGCAAAACCCAGAAGCCCACCTGAGGCTCCTTGGGGGATGGAGTCAAGTTGGGGAGAACTTGACTGTAATAATAATATAATATTATCCCAAAACATAGAACAGTAGTATAACAGTCATATGTGTATTAATATACACTACATAATCTATTATTACATATGTATGTTATTAAAATATATTTTAAAAGTAATAACATTCCATTGTATGGATGTGACAATCATATTTTCAAGGATTTAATTTGTTTTCAGGCTTTTTTCTATTATAATCTGTGCATTTTTAAAAAACACAACTAACTAGAAGAAGAATTTCTAACAGAAGGATAGTTTTACACCTTCTGATCAACATTAGCAAATTCACAGTGTCTCTGCGTTTGCCCTTCCGTGGGCCCGCCCTGTGTAGGCGCATCCTTTTCAGTTCTCAGTGTTCCCTTTTTCCATTTCTGTCAATCTGATTTCGTTCATTGGTTTACTTTTAATCTCATTTTATTTGGAATCAAGTTGAATTGATGCGTCTTGGAAGGCTCTGAGGGGGAAAGGGAAATTTTGGAAGCGTGCTGCCTCCAGGGAGAGGTGCATATGCAGGAAGCTTGCATCCAGAGACAGAGGAAGGAGACAGAGAGGCTGACAGTGGCCCACGATAGCTGTGAAGCAGGAGGGAGGACATCTGCCGGATTGAGGAGTCTTTGCCGTCTGTGACCAGCCACACCTGCCAGGCTTCCCCCAGCCCTGCAGCAAGGATCTGGGCCTGGGAGTTTGTCTCCTTGGGCCACTGTGAGTGGAAGTTGAACTGAGACCACCTGCGGCCTCAGAATGTGAAGTTTGTGGGAAGCCATTGTTGACAGAGCAACCACAGCTAGGGCCCTGCGTGCGGCCTGTCTGACATGAGGACCAGCAGAGGGCAAAAGGACCCTCAGGTGGACGCTGTGCACATCGCTGACATCTGCTTTGCCAGCCCTGACATGAGTAAGGGGTGCGGCACCTCCCAAACAGACAAACAGGGATTTGTCAGAATCATGTGAGGACGGCCCAGGTTTTCTTTTTCCCTCTTTGTTGCTTTTAATACATAAAGTGAATAAGTGTTTATTTAAAAATGGCTTTCAAACTTAAACAAATAATGACAGGCTGTTCAAACAGACTTTGGAAATTGCCCTAATCAGGATGTTTGAAAAAGCAGAGAGATTCTCTCCGAAAGTGGCTTTTCAGACATTGAGCCCTGAAACCACAGAATCTCCATTGCACTTTGCAATCACAGAACAGCAAAGTTAGGGACAGGCCAGCCTCCAAAGGATTAAATATACCACCACCCCTGTCCTGGCTCATAATGTATAAAGGGGCACTTTACCATCACTCCTCACACTGCGGAGAGAAGGAACCGAAACATGGAATGGGTACCTTTTAACCCATGATTTCTACAGAAATCACCATCTTCAGAACCAAAAGCTGCCATCTTAGACTGAGCCAGGAAATCACCCCTCAAGGAGCAGGCACAGCCCTGAGTGGGAGCGGCAGTGGGGCCAGTGCGGAGCGGGTTAGTGCTTAACTGGCGCCCGCACTGACTGACAGCTGATGGTAGCCTATGCCAGTCTCCACAACCACCTGCTTTACGGTTATAGGTGACGAAAAGGAGGCTCAGGGTTAGCTAATTTGCTGAAGGCCATAAATAAAAGGTTTCACCTGGACTGTCCTCCAAGTACCCTTCCCAGGCACCTGGAGCTGCAATAGCACCTTTGCATTATTTGGATCAAGAGATACTGATTTACCTCATCTCTCTCTCAACGTATGTTTTCTTTATAGTGCACCAGAAATGGCTCATGAAATCCATTAGAAGCACTGTTGCTGGTGTGAGGGCATGAGACTGGGAGAGGGATTGTGAAGCTCTAGAGAGGCCCTAAGGGTATATGGGGAGACATTTATCCAGGACCCCCAGAACTGTGGACCAGAGTGGGAGGAAATGCCACTGAGTCTCACCTTTCTTCCCACACTGGCTTCATGTCCAGGACGACAAGGCAGCCAGTGGCTGTCTTTCAGATTTCGCCACAGAAGTCAGCGTCAGTGACTGAAGAATCCAGGAACCAGCCGTGGCCCTCCGATGTCTTGCTGAGTTACAGCACAGTGCCATGACGAACGCAGGAGTCCCTTGGCTGGGCTGTGGGGGTCCCCCCGTCCGTGGAAAGCACGGAGGGAGGACCACTTGGCATTTACTGCTGTTTCCATGAGCCTGGGTGCTCTTTGCAAGAGACAGTTTCTCCTATGGCCTCTTCCTACCTGGTTCTCCTTCATCGTACGGAGAAAAAGCTGCTTCTTGGCAGATGATCGTGATGACACCTCAGCAGTTTGCTCAGAGCTCTGAGCGTGTATTTCACTTACATTAATTGCCTGGCTTTTCTAGGACTCAAATTTAGACTTTTTAAACAATAGGTATTTAAAAAAAAGAAGAAATCTGTGCGCCCTCTCCTGGCAAAAGTTTATCTAGTTTCTCTAGAGACGTAGGACACCGCCCCGTGAGCTCCTCTGGGCTAGCTTAAGTAATCAACCTAGTGCTAATTTGACCAACACTGTTTTGGCCATTTGTTCTTCTGTTGTCCATGATCAAGGTATCTCTGAAATGAGGGTTTCTTAGCCTCCACACTCCTGACTTGTGGGCTGCGGAATTGCTTGTGGCTGAACAGCTAGGCGCCACACTAGGTGCCAGTAGTACCCCCACCCCAAATCATGAGGACCAAAGAACTGCAGACATTGCCAAACGATCACTCTACCCTTTCCTGCTCGGTAAAAGATCCTGTCAGTCACATGGAATCCTGTGAGAGAATGAAGTAGCCCAGCATAGCCCCTTAGGACTGTGGGATACAGTTTTGATCAATGGTCAACCGAGTTCTAGGGATTTCTTTAAAGAATAATTAAACAAGTAGACAGCAAATATGTACAAAGATACATCATAATATTTTTAATAACTAAAGTTTAAAGTTTAAAACTCTAAATGTATTAAAGTATGACTATATATATATGTTACAGTACTATACAACATATAGTATTCAACATAGAGTACTGTACACATGTATGAAAGTAAGTACAAATCTGTATTTCTTAATGTGTAAATTTCCCTAACAGTGTCTCAAACTCACTTCAAAAACTACTCCAGGATTCCCAGGGGTTGCTGTCTACAGTAGGAATAATTTAAAACAGATTAATGAGCATCTGGTGTTAGACCAAATTCAAACCAATGACTAAACTCAGGAAGCATTGATTATTAATTGAACAAACATTTTCTAAGCACCTACGATGCACCTGATGAGGCTCAGCACTGGAAAGACCAAGATGATACCTGGTCCCTCCACTATAATACTTGCCCCAATAAACAAGAACACTGTGAACGTTGTCACAGCCCCCTCCCCACAGCCACACTCAGGGTCAAGGCATGTGACTGTTCCCTGTAATAAAATCATGGGCTTTGTTTCAAAATTGTTAGAAGTGGTATGGAACTGTATCTTGTTTTTCCTCTTCAGGCCAGAATAAGCCACACCAAGTGGAAAGAATTCATTTATTGCTTTATATATCCAAATATTGATTCAGAGGATTGTCCCTATACTGTTCAGTGGGTCCAGATGTAGCACATAGTCTTCCCAATTTCTAGGAAATGAACATTCAATGATTTGTTCAATCTAAGACAGTCCAGAGAGGGAGCTTTGCTGAGATGCACCACAGACCCTACTTCAAATGCAGTTGCAAGAGTGGGAGACAGAGCCCTCTCCTTTCCTCAGGTACCTGTATGTCTAGTGACACACCACTGACCCTTGAGGATTTCACAAATTAAGTTAAAGGCACATTTGCATTTGTCCAGTCTAGCTACCTATAAGAGAAACCCCCATCAGCTTCCTTTCCTGGGGAGAATGTGTTCTCAACCTCAGATGCTCTGCACCCCACTGTCAAGGCTGCCCCTCTGTGTCCACTGACTCAGCATCCTGCCAGACTCAGCATGGACATCAGCAGTGAAAGGGGTGCTGCCTTGGATCTCCATTCAAATCCTGGATCTCCCATTGATCATACATGTCTCAGCCTCTATGACTCTCAAAAGCTTATATTGCCAGTATAAACAGTATTATGGTACAGTTTTCTATATAAATTTTTATCCACTTGTTCAGTTAGATTTTTCCTAGAGGTGACCTCAGCTGACCACCCATCAAACCTCATCCTTCAAGCATGAAGGGCTGTACTGAGCCATCCTCACACTCTAGCAGGCTGTCCTGTGACCCCTGGCACTTTTGCAGAAGACAGGCAAGTTGTTGCACCTGTAGGACAGGAATAAGTACAAGGACTTAGTAAGCTTGGTAGGAAGAATGACTTCAATAATGCATGTTAAGCATCCAGAATTATGGCTGGCATACAGCAAACACCCAGTAAAGGAGTATGTTTGTTATTGCTATGGCTACGTTTCATTATTTTTATAAATGACCACACCAGCTAAAATTATAAAACCCCAGTATTTTCCCACTGCTTTTGCTGTTTTACTTTTCTCTTTAGCACTTAAGTTCTCTAATCCTATGGGATATTTATTTTGTGTGCACCTATCCTGCTCAACTAGGTAAAAGCTTCATGAGGTAGGAACTCTTCGTCTCTCTCATACACTGCTGTATCTAGGGCGCTGGACATGGAAACAGGTCCCCAGTAAATACTTCCTGAATGAGTGAAGAAGAGCACTTTTCCTTCCTCTCTGGCCCTTCTGAGGGTGCCTGGGCTACTCAGCATGATGCTTCTATGCGGAGTGGGCTGTGTGCCGGCCCCTCTCTCAGGCTCGCTAATGTCTCTCTCTTCTTCCTCTCTTGTACAGGACGCCTTTGTGGAGCTGTATGGACCCAGTGTACGGCCTCTGTTTGACTTCTCCTGGCTGTCTCTGAAGACTCTGCTCAGCCTGGCCCTGGTGGGAGCCTGCATCACGCTGGGTGCCTACCTGGGACACAAGTGAAGTTCACAGGCCTGCCCCAAACAAATATGCAAGAGGTTCACTAAAGCAGTAGAAATAATATGCATTGTTAGTGATATACCATAAAACAAACACACACACCCACACAATAACAGCTTTCAGGCAAAATGTCGAATCAGCTATTTACTGCCAAAGGGAAATATCATTTATTTTTTACATTATTAAGAAAAAAGATTTATTTATTTAAGACAGCCTCATTGGAACTCATCTTTGGAAACCCCACCACTGATTGCCAAGCCCCACTTCATGCGGTCGTGCCTGTGAACAGGGATCTGATTTCCACGTTGGCTGGACTAACTCACCATCTGAAGAGAAACAAGCAGACAGGAATCTGACTGATGGGGAAGCTGTGTTCTGGCTCCGAGGGTGGGGAGAAGGGGTTCCTTTAACTTGCATTCTTTGGCCCTGGGGGCTGTGATGTACAGAGGGAGGGTACAGAGGGAAGCCCGGTCTTCCCTGGCCTCAAGCGTGGATATTTTACATCCGGCTCACACGGTACATTCCCAGTTAGAGGATAAAAACTGGAAACTTCAGATGGACATAGTATCCACTGAGACTTCCCCACCCAAGGACAGCAATGGGAAAAATGCCCTTAAACCATAGGAAAGTATTTTTTTAAGCTACCAATTGTGCCGAGAAGCATTTTAGCAGTTTATACTTATCATCCAGTACCTTAAGCCCTGATTGTGTATATTCATATATTTTGGATACGCACCCACATACCCCTACCCTCCAATACTGACTCTGTCTGAGTAGCAAACAGAATCCCCTGGATTCAAGAAGTAGACATTTCAGTGACTTCCACAGCGTCAAGAAAACTGGAGTCACCTGGAGCATCAGGCGGCCATAAGTGCCTGCTTTTAGGAGACCGATGTCTGCAGAACCTACCCTGTGTCCCAGCTCTGAGGCCTGGACCTGGCACTGAGCCTGCGCACATGCTCGGCCTCCTCGGAGAGTTTTAAACAGGGCACTGGGGTCTCTGAATGTTTGGAAGCTGACAGAGCTCAGAATTCCGCTGTCAAGAGAGCAATAGTGGGACTTGGCCTGGGCCTGTTACCTCAGCTGCCCAGCTAGGCCTGTTTTCACATAGAGCGTGGAACTTGGAACCTGGAACCTGGGAGCCACAGCTCTTCTTAGGACATGTATCACTGTGGAGGGAAGGAAACAGGCCCTGTGCCTTTCCTGGCAGAGGGACATGGAGAAGGCTTGGAAGCTGCCCGCCAGAGTGTGAGGAAAGGAGAAAGCCGCAGCTTTTGTGGCCACTGCAGACGTGCGTTGGCAGCCCTCATCCTGTCTGTAGTTTAAAGCAAGGCTTTAAATGACTTTGGGAGGGTCATAAACCCGAAGGAAGCATTGAATGAGGTGTCATGGATTAACTGACCTGTGTCTGTGGAATTACATGTAAAACATTATCTTGTCATTGTAGTTTGGTTTTATTTGAAAACCTAATAGAGGGAAGAAAGAAAAAGTTCCAGGTGTGGAATGTGGAGATTATCTGTACATCCTGGGGCATTAAAAAAAAATCCATGGTAGAAAAGTAGTAAAAGAAGTAATATCTCTGGCTAATAAACTAGAAAATATGCTTTTTCAAGTTTAGAATCAGCCTGGAGACATTTGTGGAATAATTTTGTGGCATTATCACTTATATACCATTTATCTGTATTAACTTTAGAATGTACTATGTTCAATGTTTAATGCTGTGGTTACTATTTCGAAAGCTGCTTTTGAAAAATACATGCATCTCAGCATTTTAAAAAAATGTATTTAGTTATACAGCATCTACACATTTGTTAGCAGAAGTAATAATTTTCCATTTGAGATTTTTGTCTCTTGATTCTGCAGAAGCCTTTCTGAAAAAGGTGGGGTAAGCCTGAATCTCAGCCACCTGAGAAACCCTGGATTTCGCTAGCCATTGAGAAGCTCTGTTTTAACCTAGTGCATTTCTTGTCAACAGGATTGTTTATTGTGACGGATAGGTCTAGTCCCTTGACCTTGTTTCATGAGGGTTTACTTGTCTCTGGGCAAATCAGCATTTAACTCAAGTTATCTAAAATTACGTGCACGTTTGGTTAAACCCAGTTTACTCACTTGAAAATTCATAAGGGGGATGAGCAAATGATTAAAACCTGGCTGTGATGGTTTGACCTTTAAAGAGTTGCTTTGCGTGACCTGTTTCAACCTTGACCATCCAGAGCCCTGCTGCCCTCCTTCCCTGGGCCCTTCTCCGTGGCTGTCCTTCAGGCCCTTCCTGAAATTTCGTAGCACTTACACTTCACCAAGAAAGCGGGAAACCTGTGGTGTGGAGCCGGACCTCCCTGGTGGGCCTCAGGGAACAGGATGATCAGACTTTTGAATGATTCTAGTTTTAAAGCAAAATATTATTTTATGAAAGGTTTACATTCTCAAAGTGATGAATATGGAATATCAAATCCTGTGCTGCTATCCTGCCAAGATCATCTTAATGGAGTCAGTTTGCAGTACGCTCCCAAGTGACAAGATCCTCCAAGCTGCTTTAGAAGTAAAAATGAAGAACATGGACGTTTTTAATATAAAGCCTGTTTGTCTTTTGTTATTATTGTTATTGTTCAGACCTGGATTTGCAGAGTATTTGAGAAATGTATATATATATTAAAAAAAAAGTCATGGGCCCTAACTTCTGGCTGGTGTCCTTTGGCTTTGGAGTTCTGTTATCTGGAGTTTTGTTTAACGGTGAACGTGCCGGCCACCTGACCCCAGGACTGTACAGTATCGTGGCTGCACTCACTCTAAGAGTATTTGATAGTGCATTTCTCTTGTTAAAAACATGTTAGAAGCTATGAATATAGCTATGAATATAGCCTCAAGTAGTCATTTTTTCTCCTTTTTTTATTGTCTCACTTATTTTGCAATCAGACCACAAAGAACCATCATAGCACATTTCATGTTGAGAGGGCTTCATACCTGAATCTTAGCTCCTCTGAAGACTAAGAAGACGTCCACTCTATTGGCTAAGGACGGAGCAAAACGGAACACATGCACTTCCCAAATTGGGGTTAGGAGCCCACAAGAAGAGCCCCTGGGCCTCCACATGCTCCTGAAGTCTCACTCACAGGCACTCTGACAGAGACAGCAGAACAGTTCTGACAGTTTGCACAAACAATTCACCCCAGAAGATTTTGCAGGAGCTGAAAATTTTTGTAAGTTTAAAGTTGGGATTAAAGTATCATTTTAAAATTAAGGAAACACCTTTATGTAGTTGTAACACAAAACCTCAACATCCTCTGCCCTGGTCACTTGTCTCTGCTTGTTCAGGTACACCCTTCCTCTACACAGGACTTTTATTTTACTAGTAAATGCTTACTGCTTACTATCTAAAGACCCACTGGGAAAAATTAGGAAGTGCTTCCAAAGCAAGAAGTATTATAATAATCAAGATTAAACACAAATAATTCAAGCAATCCCAACACATGTCTAACTTTCACATCAAAGATCTATTAAATGAACAAAATTGCAAACAGTCTATATTTCAACCTATGTTAAAACAGTTTATAAATGGGAACTTCAATTCCAATTGTACTTCGAAGGCAGTGCCTGTTTTTATACTTTCTTATCACTTGTAGTTAGTAATATACACCTACTCTATCAGGGAAAAACAGGAAGGGCTTGAAATATAAGCCAGCTTAAGGAAATTAAAGAGTCAGTTGAAATTCTATTCTGATCTTATTCTGTGGTGTCTACTGCTACCCAAACAAATGTGGTCACACACTTTTTAAGAAATACAATTCTACATTGTCAAGCTTATGGAGGTTCCAATCAGATTGGTATTGTTGTTCAATTAGGATCTTTTGGGAATTTAAAAAAAAATTATCATTATTATGAGACAAAAGACATTTGTTTCAAGGGGAGAAGGGAGGAAGAATTTTTAAATGAGTAAAACATTTCCAAGATTGAACAAGGGAGTGGAAGTTTTCAGAACAGCCAGAACTACAGGGTATGAAAGCCTCTTATTAGGGTCAGGGCGATGCCTTCATGCAGGCCCCTGGGCAACAAATGAGAAACACTTAAATTCTGCGGTGCATTTGGATTCCGGAGGCATTGGCACAGTCCGAAATCTAACTCAGTTTCCCAATGCAATGGTGTAAATTTCAAGTTGGAGTTGTCTAATGGGTATTTAAACAATAAATTTGTAGTTTTAACAAACAAGATATTTGATAACAACCTTCTGGTTGGTAGGGACATCTGTTTCTAAATGTTTATTGTGCACAATACAGAAAAATTTAAAAATAAAACAATGTGAAACTGAATTGGGTAAATGATAAGTCCCTTAGCCTTACCCAGTGAATCATTCTATTCCATGTGTTTGGACAACCATGAAATAATGCATCTTCCTGGGTACAAAGAAAACTAGGGGGAGTATAAACGATACCATACCAATTCATCATGACTAACCAGAAAAAATAACTAAAAGCCATCATTCTACGGATGACAAGGTTGTTCTGTTTACAGAGATCAGCACCGAAGAGAAAAATGCTCGTGGAAAATGAAAAGCTAGCTTATCAGAAGTCCTGGAACTGTTAACTTCTATGACTGTAGCATAGACATGCAGTAATGCCACATACCTCACCATTTGGAAATCAACAGCAGGCCCTCTACCTAGCTTATTTCATTAAGTTTTTCTTACAAGGTAGCATTTGAAGGATTGATGGCTCATTGAATTTCTTTTGGGAAAACTTTCTTTTGGTGGGTTATGTTTATTATAATATATTCTTAAGTTTTCAACCAAGTTTTGCTTTTGTTTTTTGCTGGGGTTATTTTTGTTTTAAATAAAATAAATGAACATTAAGTGTTTTTGTATTGAAACCTTTTGTTATCAAGATTTTCATATTACCAAGATTTTATCTTCCATGGGCTGCTTTTAAGATTGATACTTTTTGGGGGTGGCTGGTATCTACAAAACTGTACATACAAAAAATATATATATATATGATAAATATACTTTACATAGTTAAGGTAAAGTAAGTCTCCAGTTGGCTACCATTAATTATAATGGCACTTTGTTTGTGTGTTGGAAAATGTCACATGCCATTACATTTGTCTGTCCAGCTAATTTTGTGAAGAAAAATAAAGTACAGTGTGAGATATTGGTTGTGCCTTGGAACAGTTTATAATGTGTTAACATCATTTTGCCTGCCATTTAGCATCATTAAGCAAGATTTTTTAAAGTCTTCTTAACAAGCCAATAGAACCATCATGAACCACACGATAATGAAGCCCTTAGGGATCAGACGAAAGGATTGCCTAATGAGTGAAACCATCTCAGAAGGGGCCCCTTTGGTTTCTTGGTCACTAGTCATCTCTGCCTAGGTCTGGGATGGACTAGTCTTGAGTTCTATAGCCTGAAAGAGCTATGTTGCTGCTGGGTACATCCTTCCATGTGGACAGAAGACCCCAGCCCCTGCATTCCATAAGATAAAAGACACATAATAAGAAGGAAAAAACCTGGACATTTCATTTTGAAGTTAACGTGCTTTGGAACATGTAGACCTTAAGTTGCAAGGGATCCAATGGTTCCCATTTATGCTTTGCTTCTAATATCTTAAGCCTCAACCTTCCAAGTCATTTCCCACTGATGCAATTAAAAAGACTCTGAGCTGGTCGTGGTGGCCCATGCCTGTAATCCCAGCCACTTAGGAGCTGAGATAGGAGGATGACAAATTCAAGGCTAGCCAGGGCAGTTTAGTATAACCTTTTTTCAAAAAGGGCAAGGGTGTAGCTCAGTTGTAGACCATAGTATTCTGTATTCAGTCTTCAGTACTGCAAAAAGCAAAAAAGACTCTGACAGTAGCACGCACCTGTTCAGCATATGCGGAATACCATGCCATGTGCACACTACCACCTGTTCTTCCTTCGTGGTAGGTAGTGACTTTTCCTATTTTATAGAAGAAAAATGAGACTCTAGAAGTTAAACAATGTACCAAATTCTCAATCACCATTAGTTACAGAGCCAGGATTCACGCCCAGATATGGCTGACTCCAAGGCCTGTGCTCCATCCTTCAGTGGTCTCCAAACTGCTCCACATGGAACATTGCAGATGCAGAGTGTACAAGGAGTACCCAGACATGGGTTGTTCATAGGAATTAATCTCAGCCCCCATGGGTAATCTTCATAAACATCTCCTTGACAACAACCCTGAGATCAGACCAGTTTCACCACTTCCCCTTTCTCAATCACCTGTCATGCTTGTCAGAAGACACACAGCTCAACCTCTGCCAGTCTCACTGGGAGGTGCTGTACCCAAGCACTGCTGCTGCTCCTTCTCCTTCTCCTGCTCCTGCTGCCACTGCCCCGAGTATGCCAGGAGATGTTCCTTAGCCCATCTCCTTCCAACCACATGTCAGTGAAGTGGAGAGCTTTAAAGGTGCCATGGCATCTGGCAAGTATTTACAGGAAGGAAGTAGCAAACCTTACAAAGCAACTTTCCTTTCTTTTACTTCCAGAAGGTCAATTTACCTTCATACATCTAGGAATGGCCCTGGAGTGTTACAACCCTTGAGTTAACAAAAGACATGATCTAAAATCATAGGTGATTAAAATACAATGACATGGAGGCAAGTCTTTTTTTTTTTTGCATTCAATAAAGTTAAAAGGGTACTTAGTCTAGTCAGCCTGAGGATTTTTAAAAATGTGGTTTTAAAATATAACTCAGAAATTTCCACTCCCAAATACTGGTTATATGAACAATGCTTCTAAGATCATGCAACCACAAGAAATGAAAAACAGGAATAGACTTGATGGTGAACCCTAGCTCTTCCTACTAATAATTAACTTCTATTTGTGGGTATGTGTTGTTGAGGAAGGAGGGGACGAATAAACCAGCCCCATCCATCTCATTAAGAAGTTTATTTCTAATAATACTTAAAATGTATACTTAGTAGTTATCCAAACTTTGTTTATTTTTATTGACTAAAAATATTTATAATTACTGCTCAACCCAGAAATAAAAATGTCAAATCTTACTGTCAAGAAACTTAAACTTTTGTTGTAGAAAATTATAATTGATAAAGAAATTGATCAATTTTAAGCTTCCAATTGTAATGTGTGTGTGTGTGTGTGTATATATATATATATGGATAAAATGGAAGCTAAAGTTATGAATTTGAAGAAGAATGTAACATTTCTAGAGGTTAAAATAACTCACTTCAATATTTTTCATGTAATAAGGTTGAGTATCACTTCATTATAGCATTTAGAGTCTATCGTATATAATTGAAAAGTGATATAACAGGGCCAGAGATACAGCTCAGTGGCACGGTGCCTACCTGGTAAGCACGAGGTCCTGAGTTTGATCCCCAGTGCTAAAAAAATGATACGACAAATTGATTTTAAAATATCAGTCATTATATTCTCAGACAAGCTTGTTATTAGCATGTGCCGATATTCAATCTCCAAGTGGCCTCAAGGGAAGAACTTCCCAGAAAGCCAGCCAGTTCTGTGGTTCTCTTTTGGAGGAGACACATACAGGAAAAACAAGTGGCACCACCACAGAATGGTGGAGTCTGCGAGACGTTTTCACATTGCAGGTCAGGAGCCCAAACTGCCCAGTGGCTCTCAGTTCCTTTAACATCTATGTGGAAATTTTCAAGCATTTTTCATGGATTATAGAGAGGACTAAAAAATTATATTAAACAGAAAACTTCTGTCTCAGACAGTTTAAGAGTAATAGTCCTTCTCATACTATCAATAATGTATTAGTATGTTCCTCACAACTATTTATTTTAATATTTAAATAAATAAATTTATCGATACCAAAGATCCCAGGGTGTTTGCACTGAGCTACATCCCTAGCCTTATTTATCATCTCTCTCTCTCTCTCTCTCTCTCTCTCTCTCTCTCTCTCGCTCTCTCTCTCTCTCACACTCTCATCTATCCCTTTATTCTGAGATAGGGTCTCACAAAGTCTCTGAGTCATCTTTGCTGGACTTAATTTGTGATTCTCCTGCCACAGCCCCTCAGAGTGCTAAGATTATAGGTGTGCACCAGCCCAGCCCAGCCTACATTTAACTTTTAAAAACTGTCACTGTAATATTGACAACTCTAAACATGTGCAGAGGTGATGCATGCCTTTCTAACTCGGTTTAGGCAGCACACTAGCCAGTTTGTTGGAAGACCCCACCCCAGAAGCCCCCCTCAGACTCCTCTGGACTTAACTGGAAACTCAGGGCAGACAGAGGAGGGAATGTAGCAAGGGCCTGGTATTTAATGAATCTGAAAGGAAATAGATTAGTGGATAATAATGTAATAATCTAGGAACAAAGAGTAAATATTTAGGGTCATTAAAATTCATTTAAATGCATAGATTCAACTTTTGTTACAGAAAAGTATGAAATAATAATTAATTTTAAATATTAACTTTTAAAAATATCGTCTAGGATAACACAAAAACATGACTTTGATAAGCAAAGGGTGCCACACTTGCCGGTGTTGAAGAGAATTTGTTTCTGTATTTTTTATGCAGATGAGTTTCAAATTTGCTAAGTTTCAGATCATTAAGATTCTTAGCTACCACTATGTGCATGTTAAAAGTTAGGAAACAGGTTTGATTGGTACAATATCCCTACCCCACGATCATGGCGGGAGAAGGCAAGGGATCTAGGGTAACTGCTTAGTGGTGTCCAGAATGCACTGCCACCAAGTGAAAATTCCCTCTCGGGCCCCCGTCAACCTGGAACCAAAAACAAAGGACTTGCCCTACAAGACATTCCAGCACAGGGTTTGGTCCCTAACACCAGTCTTCAGGATCCTTCTGGGAAGTGCACAGCCTATGTGTCCATTTGCTCAATCAAATGATCCCTGATTTTTTAACCTGAACAACTAGGCAAATGATAGTGTCATTTATTGGCCTGGAGAAAGATTAAGAAACCAAAATGGGTAAAGATTAGATCTGATAGAGGGTCATCAAGAGAAACTGACTATAGGCTGATAGTCCCATCCAGTATCTTTCTCCTGAGCACTAGACTGAGGCCCCCTTAATATTTAGTGCTTTCGTTACTTCTCCGGTTACTGAGACAAAATATCCAGCACCCAATATTAAAGGAGGGATGGTGTATTTGGCTCACAGTCTATAGAGGTGTCAGTCTGTAGTTGGCTGGCTCCAATGCAGGATGGTGTGGGAGAGCAACATCACAGAGGAGGGACCATCCATAGCAGACAAAAGGCAGTAAGCTACAAGTGACAAGCATGACCCTCTTTGTGTCACTTATGTCTTATCCAGCCTACCCATCCTTAGGGGGGGTAGCACACATATCCTTAATCCTAGCATCACATCATTGATCTCAGCATCACGCCTAGATCCAGACACCTCTGAAAAGCCCCACCTATGACCGCATGAGGCTTTGAGGGGACATCCAGACAGAAACCATAACATGTAGCATCTCCTCTTGAGTAAGCAGTGTCTCCATCTTCATACGGTCCAAACAGAAGTTAGATCTCATCAGCATGTAGACAGTATGAAGACATGGGCTTGCTGAGGCTATCTGAGGAGAGAGAGAGCAGGTAGAGACAATAGATAAAGCCCTGGAGCTTAATGGCATGTAGAGCATTCAGACAGGTGCCAACAATACAAAGAAAAAAATACAGCCAGAAGATAGAAAGCAAATGTTTTATTAAGATTATGGCTTCATCCTCTTATTTAAATCTCACAAAAATTCCACGAAGTAAGTGTTATTGTTACCCATTTTGTTGATGTAGAAAATAAGACTGAAAGAGGTGCATTAGTTAAGATAGGCTAGGTAGGTCTGCAGTAACAAATAAACCTCTAGATACAAGTGCCATAACAAACAGATGTGTGCAGGTGCAGGCAACTCTTTTGAGCACCCTGTATCCAAGTAGTGACTCAGGATCCCAGCCTCTTTCTACCTGTGGTGCATTATTTTCAACAGGAGACCCACACAAACACCTGAACCTGTCAAGGTTCTGAAAGCTAAACAGAGCAGTCTTCCTCTCTAGATGACAGATCTTCAAGGGTGAAGACAGTGAAATATCCCACAGTGGGCCTTGCTCCTTCAAGCTCAGTGTCCCCAGCCATGCTCAGGCCCTCACCATCCTAGCTGTCCCATAAGGACACACTTGGTCTTCAACCTGCCT